CAAAATACCGATTATCGGGAGGTATCGTTATATGGGGGCTATACGAAGGTTTCAACCTGGATACGGAAATACTGGATGTGCCGCCACCGGAGCTAGAACCCATTGCAAACTACAAATACCAATTTTTGGAGAAATCCGTAAACGATGTGACTAAAACCATCAAAATACCGAATATCGGGGTGTATCGTTATATGGGGGCTATACGAAAACGTGGACTTACATATGCAATGTCATTGGGACTAGAACCCATAACGAACTACAAACAACAATTTTTAGACAAATTGGTAGGATAATGTTGCTAAAACCATCAAAATACTGAATATCGGGAGCTACTGTTATATGGCGGCTATCTCAAAACGTGAATGGATAAATTCTATTTTTATACCCTCAGGCATATGGCTAGAGAGGAGGGTATATATCATTTGATACGGCCAAAAAGTGCCTCATTGAAATAATGATTTTTAGTCCATTAGGTTTCTTTGGACCAAATCCGTTTCAGGATATTTGGAGTCGATCTATACACCCAGCCTTGAGGTTTGATTATTCACACTGTTGGCCCTTTATGAGGGATGTTCCGAAACAGTTAGTCAATACTGTCCAATTCGTATCAGATATAAATATTACAACGTGCGATATATGGAGTACATCGTATATCCCCTATACTTTGTATGAGATATTTGCAAATTTTTGGAAAATGTGAAAATATGCGTGAGGTACCAGGTATAGCAGACTGAAATATTCCATTTCATCTAATTCTGATAAATAATACTGGTATGTGCAAAAATTGAAGAAAATCGAACATTCATATCCAATTTTATGCGAAATCATAAATTCCGATAAATTATATATTCATATCAGAGAAGGAGAAATATTTCGATATAGCAAGTTGGCAGATATAAGTATTGGAAATTGTGACCCTTTGTGGCTGAGGTACCCAAAAAGGGTTCGCAGATATATATCATCTTTACAACAGACCCTGCGTTAACAAAAATATTTGGATGTGTGAAATTTGAAAAGAATTGGATGCTTATTTCGCTTTCTTTGAGCGTTTTGTTTTTCAAAATCTTGAACCCTATGAGGGGGACGTCTAAGAAAGAATGGTTCGATCTCCACCATCTTTATAAAAGATCTTTTGTTGATGGAAATATTGAGATGTACCAAGTCTAAATGGAATCGGATGTTAATTTCGGGTTTTATGAGCTTCATGAATATTTAAAATGTTAACCCTTTATAAAGGAAGTACCAGAAGGAGTGGACCGATATATTCCATCTTAACACCAGATCTTGGGTTTATAAAAATATTAGAATGTGTGAAATTTGAAGACAATCGGACTCTTACATAACATTTTATAAGAATTGCAATTATTCAAAATGTTGACCCTTTGAGGGGGAGGTACTTGATGGAGTGGACCGATATTGTCCATTTTCGCACTTGCTGTAGCACTGATGGAAATATTAGGATTTGCCAAGTTGGAGTAGAATCGGATTATCCTTTCTCTTTCTGTGCAGTAAATTATTTTCCTTGCAAATTTTGACCTTTTGTGTGGGAGGTACTAGAAGGAGGGGACCGATATTGCCCATCTCCGAACTCGATTTAAGTTTGACAATAATATTACGATGTACCAAGTTTGGACTAAATCGGATACTCCCTTCGAGAGTTGTCGAGTGCACCAGCCGGCTAGACAGTCAAACATACAGACGGATATGTGAGCTATGCCCAAATCTGAACCGATCTTGATTAAATTTAGGAAAGGAATTTAGGAATGTGCTGTTTCAATGTGAATTTTATAAAATCAGATGAATAATATAGGGTGAGATAAAAAACTGCAACAAAGTCAAACGCCATAATTTTTACATTTTTTTTAAATTTTATTGAATGAAAGAAAAATCTCGGAAATAGCATCATATTTTAGAATAAGTTTAGATTTGGTCGAATGAGTCACCTTTGGCACGAATTACGGCCAATGAAACCGTCACACGCTACCCGAATGGTGCTCTGCGGTATTTTCGCCCATTCGGGTTGGTAAAGCCATTGAAATTCCAAAAAACGCAAGAACTTACACCGCAACGGAAAGAAATTAGACTCAAAAGAGCTAAAGAGTTGCTTCGCTTGGCCGAAAGTGGTGAACAGCCGAATTTGGTTTCCTCTCTCTCCGATGAGAAAACAACAGTTTGTAAACTAACAAAATGATCGTGTTTACTTGCCCAAGAGGATAGTTGAAAATGTGCACCTTCGGTTGGCCACCAGAAATCAAGCACCGGCCATGGTGATGGTGTGGGCCGCAATAACAGCCGATATTCGCTCTCCGCTCATATTAATCGACCGTGGCATCAGAATAAATGCCAAATATTATAGCGAAAATATTCTGAAGGGTGTATTGGGCACGCAAACGTTTTGCCCGCAGACCTTGGACTTTCCAATATCGCACTCAGCAAGCGCCACCCAAGAATGGTTACAAAATGAGGTTCCTCGCTTCATTTCCAGCGCACAATGGCCACCAAAATCCCCGGATACCAATCCGTTGGACTATTGTGTCTGTGGAGTATTCTGGAAAGCAAGGTTTGGCATCAAAGAATACCAAAGTGTCAATCACCTCAAGCAGGCGCTTCGCCGTGACGGTTTCATTGGCCGTTTGAAGGCCATAATTCGTGCCAAAGGTGTCCAATTCGAATAAATCTAAACTTATTCTAAAATTTTATGCTATTTCCGAATTTTTTTTTCTTTCAAGGAGGTAGGCTAATTTTGAAAAAAAATTGCAAGTATAGAGGTCTACCTGTTTGGCTTGTAATGTCAGAATTACTACCAAACGTTAAAAATAAGTAATTGAAAATCGCGAAGACAGAATGAAAGGTCAAAATTTATTTTCAACATCGTCTTCTACATATATCTCTATAGGTTTATTTTGCTACAAAAACTGTTGTTGTTGTAGCAGTAGTACATGTATGTGTTTGTGTTCTGGTTCCAGCTCCAGGTTTAGAAATTCGGCTACTTTAACGGGCTGTAGCCAGAGATCTTCTGGAGTGAGTTGGGTAGGTTTGGCTGAGCAATTAAAAAGGTGTAGCGTATTGTGCGGGCCTGTATCGCACGCCGGGCAGGCGTCACGCACATCTTCATCAATTCGTGCCCAATACGAATTGAGGCGACTACACCATCCTGAACGTAATTGCGCCAAAACTACCCTGGTTTGTCTAGGCAGCTGACGTTCTTCGGCTGCAATGGATGGGGGGTGGACTCCGAGGACGGCATTCACTTTATAACTGCTAATAGCATCCGCGACTGCATCGGTGTGAATGCCACTCAGACTTGCCTGATAGGCTTCTTGATCTAGAGGCTCTCTCTTGTAGCGCTGGACCTCCCTCTCTAGATCATGTATGTCCTTCCTGACACGCCTGGGTGGGGGAGAGTTATCCACCATATGATGGTTGGGATGACTCTCACGGTAACACCCAAGCAGGTACTGCAACGAAAGCATATGATTATGCTGACGTAAGGGAAGGACTTTCGCCTCCTCATGTAGATGGTCCACTGGTGTCATGAGAAGGCACCCTGTCGCAGTTCTCAGGGCAGCGTTCTGGCAGGTCTGGATATTCTTCCACTGCGTAGCACTAGTATTCGCAGACCACACTGGAGCCGCATAGTTGACCACAGACCGACCTATCGCGTTATAAGAGGTCAACAAGGTTTGTTTGTCCGCACCCCAAGAGCTGCCGGCTAGCGCCTTGAGGACCTTGTTCCTACTTTTCATCTTGTCGCAGATAGCTGTGGCTTGCGCGGACGACTTGAACATGCTGTCGAACGTTACCCCAAGAATCTTGGGGTAGTTCGTGGTCGGTATTAGATTCCCCTCGACCTGAACATTCAGCTGTGTTCTCATCTCCGCAGACCATGTGGTAAAGAGTGTGGCCGTTGATTTCGTGGCGGATATTTTCATATTCCTCGCGTGGAAGTATGCGGCAAGCTCCGCGAGATAGGGGTTCAACCTTTCGCATATGTCATCGACCACTGGACCCGACGCCATGATCGTACAATCATCCGCATACGTTACGATTTCAATGCCGTCTGGAGGGCGAGGAATTCCGGAAAGGTAGAGGTTAAACAGTTCCGGAGATATCACCCCGCCTTGGGGAACTCCCTGTTTCACTCTACGGGCTTTGGACTTCTTGTTCCGGAATTCCACGTACGACTGGCGTCCACACATATAGTTGATTATCCAACGTTCCAAAAACTGTAGATTTTGTCGATGCATACGTTGCAACAAGCATTTTGAAAACTCCCGAATTTAAATATTTTCTGAACTTTTTTTTTTTTGTTATTGAAAAGAAAACAAAGACATAAACAAATAATGTTGACATATTAAGCCAAGAATCAAATCAAAATCAAATTAAAATAGCCCTACCTTGATTTTATTGTACCATGGTGTAGGGTATAAATATTCCTCCTAATATAAAGTAAATATCAGTTTTTGAAGAAGAAAACGAGGGTAATTCACGACCACTACTTGTTATTTATTTTAAAACAGCGAGAATCTCCTAAATATATAAATATTTATGATCTATTTGCCTTTTAAAAAATCCATAATTTATTCATATTCTAATTTGTATTTTTCTTGCAGCAGCACCCTAGCAAAATTGTGGGGGATTTTTGGACAAGATATTAATATTTTTCTTTTTTTTTTCTCCCCTCCCCCACAACAGGAAATCATCAAGAATTTGTTTTACTGGCATTCAACGAAGGATGGAATAGAACCAACAACGACTTATTTGAGGAAATAAATTCTCAGTCAATATTTCAAGGAAGAATATCCATCACGTCACGGGACTAAAGATTAGAATATTGTGTTTAAGAGCAAAAAAACGTGATAAGATTACAATTTGTAATACTAAGATCCAAATAAGATTTTCGATTATTCATTAATTTTTAGATGTGTTTTAATTTCAATTTTAATTAAAGACATAAATATTTAATTTATTTGAATTTTAATTTTCATATAAAAAAATTGTGATAAATATATTTTTTAGATGTCTTAAAATGTTTTGTTAGTATTTTTTGACAATTTTTGAAAATTACGAAGAGTAGTTAAGACCCCAGCCCCCCCACAAACAACATACGTTCTCAAGTAAATACACCAAATATTGAAATAATTTTAAAAATATTATTTATTAAATATCCGATTTTTAATATAAAACCAAGAAGGAAAATATTGAAATAATTGTTTAAAAATAAAATATATAAAATATTATTTTATAGCCTCAAAGAAAGGATAGAAAATATTGAAATTTTTAAAAAATTGTATTTATTGCTTACATAACACAAACCAAATAGTAGTATAACAATAGCAACAAATACATTGTTACAGCAGCTGTATTATCCAGGAGTATTTTCTTTATAAGACTTTTGTAGAATTTTCATTCCATTTTTCTTCCCATTCTCTCATCCAGCAAAATGTTTACCCTAACGAAATTTTTATTAAATAAACCCCGATTATTGTTTGTAGGCGCTCTCATTGTAACCATATTCCATATGGCCCCCCTGACCATGGCTTGTTCTAGTCGTTCTCTGCCCAAGCCAAGGCCATCATCCATTGCTGCTCCCACATCCACTAAAATACCCATTACCACTACTTCTTTGCATACCACAAGTAGCAGTACCACCAGAGACACAACCACAACCTCCACCACAACGACAACAACAACGACCACAACCACCACACCCAGGCCCAATATCACATTTCCAACCTTTAAGTGTCCAGCAAATTTCGATGCCTGGTATTGTTTGAATGAGGCCACCTGTTTTACGGTGAAAATTGGCGATTCCATTATGTATAATTGTGAGTGTGCTATTGGCTATATGGGACCTCGGTGTGAGTACAAAGAATTGGATGGCAGCTATCAACCCAAACGTCCACGTCCGATTTTGGAAAAGGCCAGTATTGCCAGTGGTGCCACGTGTATTCTACTCTTTTTGTTATTTGTTTGTTTGACTCTCTATTTGCGTTACGATCAGAAATCCTCGAAAATTCTCATGGAAGATGAGGACTATGGTGTGGTTCTACCATCATCATCATCATCATCGTATGGTGGTAATTCAGTGAATTACTATAACAACTGTAGATTTTGTTCCGATAAGTATTGTTGTTCTTCTTCGGCCAGGGATTTTAATGATTCGAAATTTTTGCTGGCCAATGATAAAAATGCAAGCAAGGGTAGCAGCAGCAGCTCTTGGTTTAGGCAACACATTGAAGCCTTTCCCATGGGTCTGACCATTAAGCGTTCCAACAAAATTTAAAGAAATAAAAGAGTAGGAAAATCTCGAAATGTTTGAAATATTTGAGAAAAAACTTAAAAAGAATTTGGAAATAAAAAAGGAGAAATTAAGGAAAATCTCGAAATGTTTGAAATATTTAAAAAAAAAACTTAAAAAGTATTTGGAAATTATTTTGGACTTCAATGTTTGCTAATCTAAGGAGAAGATTCGACTTTTTTTTCTAATTTCACATAACCTCAAAAATTAAAATATCATCACCAACGCAAATATGAGCTGAAACTAAGAAAGAACATATTTTTTTTTATTTTTTTTTTAATTGTAAAGCATCAAACTTCACAAAGAGAAGAAAAGATGGAGATTTAAAAAAAATCTGCATAACCTCAAAAAATCCAAAAATGTTCATAACCTCAAATTTTATTAGAAAATACTATTCTGTATTTTTTTTTTTCATTGAAAATTTGTGAGACTTTATGGTCTCACCCCATAAATAGAAGAAAAGTTCAAAATTGAGGAAAAAACGGCAAATTTTTATAATTCGACATAACCTTAAACATGAAAATGTCATCACCAACTCAAATTCAAGATGGCTATAACCTCAATTTTTATTTGAAAATACTGTTTTGTATTTTTTTTTTTTCATTGAAAATTTGTCAGACATTGTGGAAAAAAATGTAAATTTTTATAATTCGACATAACCTCAAAAATCAAAATGCGACTTCAAAATCAAATACAAGTTGAATTTCAATTAAAAATCATGTTTTATAAATGATTTGTTAATTGTAAAGTTTAAAATTAAAGAATAAATAAACAAATTTTTATAATTCGACATAGCCTCAAAATTCGATATGCCGACACAAACTCAAATGCAATTTAATTGTCATTCGAAATTCATGTTTTTATAAATGATTTGTTAATTGCAAAGTGTCTGACATCAGAAGGAAAATTGAAACCCAACCTAAAATTTCTTTAAAAATACTATTTTTTATATTTTTTTGAACTTTTGTCACACATCAAGCATCGAAATCAATATTTGGCTCTCAGTCAAAGGAAAAAGTTGAAAATTTAAAAATTCGACATAACCTTAATAATCCAAAATACCATAACCACAAATTTTATTTCAAAATACTATTTTGCATTTTTTTTCATTGAAAATTCGTCGCACATTATGCCTCACCCCATAAATAGAAGAACAGTTCAAAATTGTGGAAAAAACTGTAAATTTTTATAATTCGACATAACCTCAAAAATCAAAGTGTTAAAACAAACTCAAATACAAACGGAATTTTATTAACAATTCATATTTTTATAAATGATTTGTTAATTGCAAAGCTTTCGACATAAAACTTTGGCACATTTCAAGAAAAAAAATTGAAGTTAAAAAAATCTTCATAACCTCAAAACCGCCAAACTCAAATTTTCTTAAAAAATACAATTTTGTATTTTTATATTGAACTTTTCTCAGTTATTATGTATCATCTCAATAAAAATAGACGATAATTTCCGAATTGAAGGAAAACCACAAATATTTCTGATTCAACATAACCTCAAAAATCAAAATGTTACGATAAACTCGAATACAAGCAAGATTTTTATTAAAAATTTCAATTTTTTTATTATTGCAAAGTATCTGACATCATATTTCGCATCATTAAAGGAAGATAAGCTGAATAATAAATTAATTCTTCATAAACTAAAAAATCCAAAGAATAACCTCAAAAACTCTGAATTTGTTTCAATACCATTTTAATATATTTTTTCATTGAAAATTTATAAAGCATCATGTTTCATTCCAATGAAAACAGGACAAAAATTCAAAATTACAAAAAAGTTCCAATTTTTTCTTAACCTCAAAAATCCAAAATGACCATAACCTCAAATATTTTCGGTTTTTATATCCTTTGCCAAGAAGATGGAGATTTTATGTTACCACCCTAAGGATGTTTGAGATTAAAATCCACAGTCTAACAAAGCTCTCAATATCAGTGCCCGATTTTAGTTCCTCAGTGGATGCAAACATTCCATCCAAAAATTCTCAATTCGATTTCGAATTGTCTCATAAAGAACGCTGTCCCTCGATGTTCCATATATTAAAGGTTTTAGACTCCATATCTCAGAGATTTCACTTTAATTTGGCATCTCCGATTCTCATTTGGTATAGCCTAAGTTTAGTTTTAACTCCCGATTTTAAATTTAAATTTGCGATCCAAACGTGTCGCCTATCTAAGAGCAAAGGCTCTGACAAAAAAGGCTGCTTTCAGACAATAGAATTTATAAAAAGTTCTAGCTACGGGAAAAGCCATAGTTAATAGATAAGGGCCTGACTATCCATCCACAAAATAGCATAGTACTGTACGCCTGGCTGTCTCAAACCGTAGCTGCTCCTTTTTGGCTATTGAACTTCCGTATCTACGGAATTGTAAAGATTTCAGTATTGAAGGCTGCGACAGGTGTTTGAACTATATAAATTGCTTAAATCGATCTTCTGCCCATCATCGGCACGGTTTTATAAGATGAGACTTGCTTTGCATATATTTTCTCCGAAACTTTGTATAGAGGTTTCTTTTGTCTTTTGCTCAAGCCTAAAAAGCAAAACTCAATATTACCAGGACTATTCATCATAATTCGTATTACCAGGTGTAGACATCTGGCTGAATTACCACGGTTCCTGGTGGTAATTTCTACAATATAAAATGTTGGACCTATAAAATATTTTTTTTATGAGGACAAGGAATATTTCTCTAGCCTATTTCTAAAACAGTTAAGCTGCAAGTACATAAGAAACTTGAAGTCATGGCTAGGCATATTTTGTGATATTTCACAAAGGGAGTACAGAGTCGCACTAAAATCCTGCCGTCGTTGTCCATTATAACTTGACATTAATATGCCTAGCCTTGACTTCAAGCTTTTTATGTACTTGCAGCTTTAGTCTTCTTGTGAAGTTTGAAGTCATGGAAGTCAGTAAATTTAATTACATATATTTTTCATTTAAGAAATGTTTTATGGAAATATCGGGGTGAGATAAAAAAAACTGCAACAAAGCCAAACACCATAATTTTGTCGGAAATATCATCAAATTTTAGAATACATTTGGATTTGTTGGAATTGGTCAACTTTGGCACGAATTATGGCCTTCAAACAGTCAATGAAACCGTCACACGCTGCCCGAATGTTGCTCTGCGTTATTTTGGCCCATTCCATTTTTTAGTGCCAACCTTGCCTTACAAAGTACTCCAGACACAGTAGTCCAACGGATTGGTATCCAGAGATTTTGGAGGCCATTGTGCGCTGGAAATGAAGCGAGAACCTCATTTTGTAACCATTCTTGGGTGGCGAGTGGTGAGTTCTGTTGGAATGTCCAAAGTTACTCAGTTTTTTCATCTCAGCCTGTATAGAAATCCTCTTCCTGGATGTTTTATGAATAGAAGATCATTCAAGAAATGTTTTTTTTATGGAAATATAGGCTGTTTAGCGACATTCTGCCTATAAAAGGCTTATGGAACTATTTTATCCATGGAACTGTTATCTAAAGAATCTCTTTGAAGAGGATATCCATAATTAACAGAGGCGCCAATCTTTAAAATCTCTACATTTGGGTCTTCTTCTATCAATAGGGGACCTTTTTAAATGTCATTTAATAAGGTCTTCATATTATAGATGACCTCTAAATATATATTTTTTTTAAATTACTGTAAACTACGTCTTCATATACCCTTACCCTGTCTTCATAGAATAACCTTAAAGTGGCCTATGAAGGGACATGTCTTCCATTAATGGAAAACCTTGAAAGAGTTTATTTTTCAATTGAAAAAGGTATATTTTATCTGGAGGAATTTTAAAGGGCTCTTGAATCTATAAATGCCCTTTAAAGAGATCAACCAATTTTAAAATGTTTGAATAGGCTGTGAAAGCGAATCGTCCCTTATGAATATCTGAATTCTGTTGTCCTGTGGTCTCCTTCCCGTTTTATCAACTTGCCTATTGTTTTATATATTTTATACATCATCATAATCATTACATCATGTTACATAAAAAATAATTCCAACTAATTATGTAGTTTGATTTCTTTTTTTTTTAATAATTTTACAACTTTTTTTATATATAAATATTGATTTTTTTTATTAATTTATTCTATGATTAGCAAATATCTTAAGCCAAATAAATTATAATAAGGACGTGATATCTCTCTACATGTAGTGTATAATGACAAGTATAGAATTCCAATGACTATAAATTGTAAGATGCGTTTTTAGGTGAACTACCAGTTTTTGTATTTCCGAACGAAATTATACCAGGAGAAAGAGAAATCATTTTAAAATCCATATTTATATCAAATGTCTGATATTATCAAAGTGAATATTAAAGAGTTTGGACCATTGGATAATTATCAATAATAAATCTCTCAAAACATTTAGTTATAGACAATTATTAAAGATGTTATAATATATAAGACAGACGTATGAAGGGTCTCGAATACATACACATCGTTATAGAAGGAATCATATGCATATGATTCCAATCTCATGCATATATTTATATTAAACATCTAATTGCCGTAATGTATAGATTTTAAAAATAATTGCAAAAAAAAAAAACATTTGGGAATTTAGTAGATAGGAAATACTTCATGAAAACATTGTTTTATAAATCGTTTACATTTCACGTTCCATAGAATTGTTTCTGCTTTCGTAACAGTTAGTGCTCTCAGGTAGTGTATCAATTTTTCAAGATACAAAACCATGAATGGGTTGTATTTGGCATGACGGGCTTAAGTCATCGGCTGGCTTCTTCGTAAAGGAACAACAAAGAAGCATAATCGCCAAAATCGAACTGAGTCAACCTAAAACTCCTTTGTTCCTCTACGATGACTTAAGCTATCTTAAGGATTATGGCAATGCTACGACAGTTGAATATTTGGGGTTTGAAGATGTTTTCGACAAATCGAAAATAATAAACTTGGAAATAACCTTGAAATATTATTGGAAAAATTTGAATTGCCCATAGACCCGTGCAAAAATTCCTTCAGGGGACTTGAAACGCCTCTTTAAAAATATGCGACTCTAGCACCTCAGATCGAAAATTTCCTTAAAACGCCGAGATTCTAGAGTCATTGTTTTTAGATAATTCTTAAATATATCACAAATCCAATGATATGCTTCGGCATATTTTAAAAACCCTACAGACATCTTTTGATATAATTTTTAAGTAATTCCTGATACAAAATCTTATAAGGTCCACTGGGAATATTGTTAAAAACTAGGATTTTCAAATTTCA